CACAACACAGACCCACAACCCACAAAATACCACAACACAGGCCCACAACCCACAAAATAAAACGACATTGAGCCACAAACCACAAAATAACATAACACTGAGCCACAAACCACAAAATAACACAACACAGAGCCACAACCCACAAAATAACACAACACAGACCCTCAACCCACAAAATAACACAACACAGACCCACAACCCACAAAATACCACAACACAGACCCTCAACCCACAAAATGAAATGACACAGAGCCACAAACCACAAAACAACAACACAGACCCTCAACCCACAAAATAAAACGACACTGAGCCACAACCCACAATCGTCTGAAGTGAGTCATCTGTCTTTGTAATGAACCACTTACACAAGAACACAACGACAACATGAACCTCTTCAGCTACTTTCATTCATCTATGAATTCTGTTAGTCATTTTATGATAATTTATCAGAATTTCAGGGATTATATTATCAAAGTTATAAACTTTTTTGGGGAATGAACAGGAATTTAAATACATAAACCTGGTCTTTAAAAACACTGAAGATAAGATAAGATAGAACTTTATTGATCCCACAGGAAATTGTTGAAAATGGGATCCCAACCTGAATTTGGAGCACCTCAGGTTGTTGTGAGTCTGGCACACTGCGATAATCATGCAGCACAAAAAGTAAATTATCGACAGCTGATAATGTTCTGTTTCCAACATAGACACATTTTATAAACAACTCCAACTACATTGTTACTATATCTGCTTTTACTGAATTGGAATTTTTTTTTAACAAATTAGATAATTTAACCAAAACATACAGGAAAACGCAACAATCAGAGCGTTTACGATTGAGCCCAGAAGAGAATTATGAAGCACAGCGGCAATCAGAATGCATGAGAATTTCATGAGAATTCAACCAAAGATGGATGAGAAAGAATACACACAGAAAACCACTGGGACAGATTCACCATTTGGAATAGGGAGGAATAGACAATAATCTGATTTGGCAAACACAGCTTGGGGAGTTTAAACCTCAGCTGTTACTGAAGGGTTCACCAAATTAAACAGAGTTACTTTTTATTAAAAATTAATTCAGAGGCTTGTAGGCTCCATCAACAGCATTTAATAAAAGGTTTATGTGGCTTTTAAACGAGCAGGTCAGCTGTTGTATCAGCCCTCTCTTTTACCATTGGCAGAGTCAGCAGTGTGCTGTTTGGACTGGAGCTGGGTCGGGACGGTTCTGCTGATGGGGGGCTGAGTTTAGGGGTCTGAGGATGCGTATGGGGTGAAACTACAGGCTGCTGTTGATGGGTGCCAGCAATAAATGTGCTGAGATGTTAAAATGCATTAAAATATAGCAGTTAGGCAGAACATTTAATCCATCACATGGTGGGAAAAATGACAAGGCAAATCAGTTTTACATAGGAGCCAATCTAAATAATAATAAAAAAAAATTACCAGTACACACTTATTCCTCCTAAAAAACCTCGAATGTGGAACGACTTACGTTCTTGAATAATGCATGGAATTTATTCTATTGTCTGTCACACTTTTAGAAGCACATTTGACACAATGCACAGATAGTATGAACACACTTTCTCTCTGCTGCCAGAACAACAGCCCATTAGACGCAAATTAAATTAAGAATTACAAGTCATAATCCTGACTGATGGTTGCTGGCTCGAGTCCTTGGCTCGCTCTCAAACCTCACTTCTGGAGCCGCTCTCTGCTAATAAATGGATCAATTACTCAACAAAAAACAACCATAAGCAGTTTGAGATGTAAGATGAGATGTAAGATGAGATGTAAGAAGTGTTGCATTAATAAAGCATTTCACATGTTTCCATGTATTTATGTCACATCATCTGTTCTCACAGATTGCATCCTTCAGCGTGTCACCAAACTACGAAATCATCTTCTTCTCCTCAGAAGTTTATGAAGTTGTCAACATTCTCGATTTTTTTGATTCCAAAGTAGAGCTGACAAAAGTCATAGAGGACCTGGAGAAGTTTGAAGTAGGCGGTGAGTTTGTAGCTAGTTTTAAATACAAAGCAGCCTATAGTGTTGTGTTTAATGGTGTTTATTGTGTTTCTTCTTTTTCTTCTTTCGGCTTTTCCCTCTTTAGGGATCGCCACAGCGAGTCATCCTCCTCCACCTCTCTCTGTCCTCTGCATCCTGTGTCCTCACATCAACTACCTCCATGTCCTCTCTGATTGCATCCATATATCTCCTATTTGGCCTTTTTCTTTGTCTTTTTCTTGGCAGCTGCATTTCTAACATCCTTCTACCAGTATACCAACTGTCCCTCCTCTGGATATGTCCAAACCATCTCAATGTGGTCTCTCTAACTTTATCTCCCAATTGTTCAACCTGTTCTGTATTTCTGATGATCTCATTCCTAATCTTATCCATCCTTGTCACTCCTAAGGAGAACCTCAACACCTTCATTTCTGCCACTTCCAGTTATTTCTCCTGTCTTTTTGTCAATGCCACTGTCTCCAGACCAAACAACATAGATGATCTCACAACTTTCTTGTAAACTTTTCTTTGACCTTTGCTGACACCCTTTTGTCACAAAATACTCCAGAAAAATGTCTTCATCCACTCCATCCTGCCTGGACTCTCTTTTTCACCTATCTACCACACTTCCAATTTGCCTGTACAGTGGACCCCAAGTACTTGAAGTCCTGCACCTTTGTGACCTCTGCTCCTTGTAGTCTCACTGTTCCACCCTCTCATTCACACACATGTACTCTGTCTTACTACGGCTGACTTTCATTCCTCTTCTTTCAAGAGCATACCTCCACCTCTCCAAGTTCTCTTCCACCTGTTCCCTGTTCTCACCACAGATCACAATATCATCTGCAAACATCATCGTACACAGAGATTCTTGCCTGACCTCATCTGTTAGTCGGTCCATCACCAGAGCAAACAAGAAGGGGCTCAGAGCCGATCCTTGATGCAATCCCACCTCCACCTTGAAACTATCTGTCCCACCTACAGCACATCTCACCACTGTCCTGCTGTCCTCATACATGTCCTGTACCAGTCTAACATACTTCTCTGCCACTCCAGATTTCCTCATGCAATACCACACCTCCTCCCTCGGCACCTTGTCATATGCTTTTTCTAAGTCCACAAAGACCCAATGGAGTTCTTTTTGACCCTCTCTGTATACTTCTCCATCAGCATCCTCAAAACAAAGATGGCATCTGTGGTGCTCTTTCTTGACATGAAACCATACTGTTGCTCACAAATTGTCATCTTTCATCTAAGTCTTGCTTCCACAACTCTCTCCCAGATCTTCATTGTGTGGCTCATCAACTTTTCATTCAACCTTTATTTAGACAGGTAAATCCAATTGAGCCTCGAGGACTCATTTACAAGAGAGACCTGATTTCAACAAAGAATGATGACAATAATGGACAACAGCAATAACAATAGACAATTATAAAAAGGCATACATTTTTTTTTTTTTTTTACAAATAAGATGGCAAAAAAGTAACAAAAACAGCTAGACCATAAGGTGAATGTAGAAAACTAAAAACAGGAACATGTCTGCACATGTCCGCCAGGAGTCCAACAGAACTTAATTCCCCTGTAGTTGCTACAACTCTGCACATCACCCTTGTTCTTAAAAATGGGCACCAGAACAGTTCTCCTCCATTCCTGAGGCATTTTCTCATCCTCAAATATGCCATTGAATATTTGAGTCAAAAACCTCAATGCCATCTCTCCAAGTCATTTCCAAACCTCCACTGGTATGTCATCAGTTCCTACTGTCTTCCCCTTCTTCATTCTTTTCAGAGCTTTTTGTACTTTACCCTCACTACTTTCCCACTTCCTGGTCCGCAGTTTTGATGACCTCTACTCTTCTTTCTCTTTCTTCTCTTCATTCATTAGCTCCTCAAAGTACTCCTTCCATCTTCCCATCACACCCTCTTCACTTGTTAGAACATTGCAATTCCTATCATGAACAAGCTTAACCTGCTGCACATCCTTTCCAGCCTGATCTCTCTGTCTCGCCAAATGGTACAAGGTCTTCTCGCCCTCTTTAGTGTCCAGCCTCCCATACAGCTCATCATACACCTTCTGTTTTGCCTTAGCTACTTCCCGCTTTGCTCTACATCCCATCTCCTTATATTCCCGTCTCTTCTTACTGTCATATTTCTTCTTGACTAACCTCTTTCTTTGAACGGTGTCCTGCACTTCACTATTCCATCACCAGGTTTCCTTATCATCCATTCTCTGTCCACAGTTAGAGTTGCAACTCTCTGTCCTACATTCTTGACTTTCCTCTTCTCCCTCTGTCTCCTGACGTTTCCCTCCTCGTGGTCTTTGACTGACAATAGCACAATTTCCGCTGGCACCCTGTATGTCAGCATCACCAGTGGCAATTGTTGTTAACCCTGTACTGGTGTTTATTGGTCTTTAATATTGTTTATTAGTGTTTAATAGTGTTTGTTGGTGGGTTTTTTTGGTGTTTATTGTTTTTTTTATATTGTTTAATGGTGTTTTATGGTGAACGTGTCTGTTTGTGATTTTAAGACAAAAACACAGGAACAGATCTCAACCTTGCCTTCGTAAGGTTCGAGGAACAGATGGCGTTTATAAAGGAGCGGGCCGGACTTGAGGGTTTTAAAGAATACCGCCACGTCTTGATCATGTTTACAGATGGTAATTTTCACTTCCTACTATTTGAAATTATCACTAAGCTCTTTGACATAACCAACGTTGTTTTAAAGAGATAGTCTGGTGATTTTTGAAGCAATGTTCTGTGTAGATGAACAGATGCTCAGATATATTCATCAATTAACACGGATTCCTCATTTTTCTGGACTGAATAAAACGTGCATTGAATTTAATGAAATGCAAACGTGAGACGTCATTTATCTTTGACCCATCAAAATGAATGCGGTCATTTATTTACAGAATCAAAGTTTAACATCAAACATTTACATTAATTTGGCAAAATATGAAAATAACACATAATCAATCAGGAAAACCATACGGCCATGATTTTCCGTTGCTTCACCACAGACATTTATGAAACTGTACAATTATGATTTTCATCCACACGGCGGTGGATGAGCACTTTACACAGACATTTCTAAATTATCTGGAAGGATTTCTACTTTAGAGAAGAATTTAAAGATGAAAAGATGAAGTTTAAAGGGGGTGAAAGATGGTGTTTGAGGGAGAGTGTTGAACAGAACGGCACTCTCCGGGCTTTCTTCAGCTTCTTCCTTACAGTACACTTAGGTGGTGAAATCGACTCTTTTACCTGGAGATGTCTCAGGCGAGATTCCGTTTAACGCACCCTTTCAGCGTCTCCGTAGGATGGCTGTGAATCATCCGGAGTAATGGTGAGATTCTGTCCGACACAAGCTCACCTCAGTGGAAAATGTTATAATCCCATGAAACTCGGAAGAGCTCTGTGGTCATGTCAGGGTCTTCCCGGCTCCCACAGCAACTGCCAGCACTAGGACATATCAGAACTGTCCGCACCGCCGAACTTCTCCAAACCCACAGAACTGAACTCAACTCAACTCAACTCTGAGAGAACTAGGAAGTACCGGCATTTTTAAGAGCTCTTTTCCCGGTTCATTTGATCGTCCCGGATTGGTCCAAAACAACCAGACAGGGGTGTGTTTTGTGATGTAAGAGGGTTACTAAAAGTCAGAAGACAGCAAGAATGTTATTGAACAGATTAAACTGTTCTCACAGACAGAGAGTGTTTTGTTTTGGCGAGTTTTAGAAACAGGTGCCAAAACCCCCCTGTTGACGTCTGAGAGGATGTAAAAACAAGGCAGTTGTTCCAACACATGTCTGCTTCGATTCCTGACCCTGGAAAACGCACACTTGCTCATTCAAAGACAGAAATCAGAAAATGCATAATTACTCTGTAACAGCTTTAACATGAATTCTAACTTTGCATGAGAATTAAAAATCATTACACTGTTTCAGTTAATAAAATCGATTAGTTCACTGCAACATCTAAAATGGTTTGAACTAAGACACTTTGATTATCAACATTTGTAAAATAGTAATGATAATAAAAAGAGAGTGTTCTTCCACTTGATTTTCAAGAAAGAGAGTCTCAGGATGGGTGAACCTGTATTTCTGGATTCAAATCAATGAAATGACAGTTCCTGTCCCACAAGGTTCTTAAGGTCAAGGGTTTTGACCTTAGGCTTAGTCTTGACATCAGGTTAAGTTCACTACATCTGTATGTACTAACTAATGATAAGTATTTGGTAAAACATCATGTAGTGAACTAGGCCTCCGACCAAAACCTGCCTCTGAAGACCTTCATGGGACAGGAACTGTTATTTCATTGATTTGAATCCAGAAATACAAATTAGCTCATCCAGAGACTGTCTAATTGTACCCTGAAGTAATCAATTGAAAGAACACTCTTCTTTTTATTATCATTACTATTTTACAATATCTTGATAATCAAAAGTGTGTTTAGTTCATACCATTTCTAAATGTTAAAGTGAACCACTCATTTTAAATCAACTGTGAAACAGTATTAATTATTTTATTTTTAATCATCATTTAAATTAGAAATCAAGTTAAATATCTATTTACAAAGTAATTATGCATTTTGATTTTCTGTCTAAAGGAGAAGTAGTGATGTCGGTAAAAAGTCGGAGACAGTCAGAAAGAAGTTATTAGAACGAAGTGTATTGTTTTTAAACCTAGCAGACGGTAAAGAAGAAGCAACTGGCACCTGCTTCCTCTCACTCCTTCAAAGCATTTCTCTGTCTGTACTAAACATTCCTAAACATCCCTGTTGTCTTTTTGACTTTTAATAACCCTCTGACATCACTGAAACACACCCCCTGTTGGTTGTTTCAACCAATCAGGAAGTCCTGAGTGACCGGAAGTGAGAACTCTTTAAAAGTCCACACTTCCTGGAACTACTGAGTCTACTGAGACTTCCAGTCTACTGGGTCTTCTGGAGTCTACTCCGCCTTGTGGAGTCTTCCACTCCTGAGTGGGATCTCTGACGGACTCACAGATGCTTGCTGTGAATCCACCCGGGTGTAATGCCTCCAACTTCGAAGGGAGCTGAGCCTGTTGTTGAACGGAGTAAATTGACACGACTTCTGACAATGGCCAGCCACTCTTACCGGAGACGCTGGAAGGTAGCGTTGAAATGGACCCGACACCGGAGCTGATTTATCTCCTGCGAAGGTAACGAGTCGTGACGCGCTAAGTGTACCGGAGGTTTGAGCTGGTGTTGGAAGAAGCGTGCCATCCTGGTCCAAACAGACACCTCCCTTCACCCATCTTTCTCTTCACCCATCCTTCCTTTAAACTCTTCTATTTTGCCAGTAATCTAGATGCCTTCAGAAATGTCTTGTCTTATTAGTAAAGCGTGCCAAGTTTTATTAATCAGAACCAGATCAGCTAATCACGTGTACATGTTTTGATGTTAAATTTTGATTCTGTTAAATAAATGACCACATTTATTCTGATGGGTCAAAGGAAATTAACGTCTCATGTCACTGATTAAACAATCCTCACAGTTACCTCGTCACATGGCATTAATTTAACTCGAAAAAGAGAGAACTCGTTATATATTCAAATAATTAGTAGTGAAGGTACAGCAAAGCTGACCTTGACACACTACAATCACTTCAATATCATCAGACTATCCCATTAAGATGTTAACAATCCACTTTATTATTTGTCCCATTGGAACTGAACTTATCAATTTAGCCAGAGTTAAACTTTGTTTTTCCAAACAGAGCTTGCTGAAAAAACTGTCTACAACAGGTGTCATATTAAATGATTATATTATTTTCCACAGAACCCGACTTAAAAAGATCTACACTATTGTTTTATTGGATTCCTTTATGTAACAATCACTTCAGTCAATTTCACAGCAGTTTGCTGAAAGAAGTCCCTCTCATAAATGTCTTGTTTCCCTAGTAATGTCATTTAGTGGGTTGTATGCGCAGTCTAAATTAAAAAGATTTAAAAAGATGAACATCTGTATTCTTCTCTTCAGGTGCTTACAACATGGGTGGTTCTCCTAAACCCACTGTGGAGAGAATCAAGAACATGGTCTACATGAACCCACAAAATGTATCCAGAGACGAATTTCTTGGTGAGCTTCAGATTTGTCCTGATGTGATGAGGCTTCATGTCTCTGTCACTTCCTGAAGCTCACAGACACTCTGTCCTCGTCACTGCAGATGTTTCATACTAAAGTATTTAACTCATCATAGAAAACCTCTCTGCCTGCCTCCGTTTGCAGATATTTATGTTTTCGCCATTGGGGCTGACATTTTCGACGATGACCTGCACCCTCTGACGGTGGGAAAAGGCGGGGATCATTACTTCAGGATGAAAGACATCCAAGAGTTAGGAGAAACCTTTGATAAAATAATTGGTGAGTGATCTTGAAAACAGAACCAGCTGTTTGATTCCTCCAGTTGCTGTGTGTACCGGTATATATGATAAAGTTCTGGGTGGTTCTGGTGAGCCCTCACTGGGCTCAGAGATGCGTTATCCCTGCTGGAAGTCTGAAGCTTCTCTTGTTTGCTATAATAGTTTGGAGGAAGACTCATCTGTCTTCATCCTGCCTGACATCACCACTGAAAAACGCAACATTCAGCTTAATCAAAGATTTCAAGAGAACATAACTTAATTCTCATCAATTTGTTGTTTATACTCATATTAAATAAGTTGTGTGAACTGTTGGATAAAAAAAATGCTTCATTAGTTAAAATATTTAAGTTGAGGCCACACAAAAAACTTAAGTATTTGAAAGTGGTGGGGATTTCGGATTGTAAACGGTTAACCCTGAAGCTTCTGCACATGCACAGATCAACGGTCCTCCATTTCCCGCTCAGGTGCACCTGCTAATTGACCAGGTCTGGACATGCCTGGACAAGTCTTGTAACTTGTAGTTATTTTCATCACCATCAACTTTTATTTACCGTGGTACATTAATTTGGTGAGTACATATTTGTTCTTTTTGTACACTATTTTCTGTGTTATTGTTAGTTGTTGCTGGTGTGCTGTGGTAATTTTTTTTTTTTTTACCGGAGTTCACGCCACTGTTGGTCTGCAAACTCTTCACTTTCAGAGACCAAAGGTTACTAAATTTTTAACAATATAAAAAAAAAGTTATTTGGCATAAAATTTGTGTTTGTATGCATAGCATGAAATGTTTATCTTAAATTTCATGCAAGTAATATGGCGGGCATCATGTTGTAAGTCACGAAGAACTTCACTACTGTGGTCAGAACACAGGCCAGTTTTGCTGATATCTTTACCACTTCTTTAATTTCAATTGAAACTTCATTTACATGACTTTCCTATTTTAGCTTCGTAAAGCTGGATGTGAAGAGGTGACAGTCAATGGCGGCAAAAGGAGCCAAATGAATCCTGGAGGAGAGGCCTCGAACAAGAATATTAAACGGCCAAAAAGGGGTGAAGCAAATTACTTTCCAAATGTGCCACAAGACCAGGATGAACAAACTGTCGACAAGCGTAGAAACAGTCTTGTTGAGGAAATGAAAAAGAAACATCCCAATGCATCTCTCATCGCACAAGTAATGAATGAAACACTCCCAATGCGCAGACAAGAAATAGTGAAAAACGAGCCCACTGTTCAAGAAATGATTGTCAGATGGCCAGCACTGTTCACTGAAGGACTGGTAAGCAACTGAAAACTGACTAACATGCTCAATTTGTGACAAGCATTTTAAAAGAATAAAAACTAACATATGCATAGTGAATTGTATTTTTTTTTTTTTTTTTTTTTTGCTTAACCTTTTGTTCAGAACTTTAATGTCTCCAGTTTGAAAGTAATAACATTTGCTAGTCGGTATACGGTGTTTTTAATGTTACTAATTCTATCTTCTGGTTCTGTTCTCTACATTGCTCTTTTTCAGGTATTAGCTGAGTTTAATAGGATTGTGAGTAAGAATCTGGAACAAAATTTCTTTGAGGCTCTGGACCAGTAAACGCCACAATTCATCCAACTCTTCACTTTAAAACAAGGAACTGTTGGAGAGAAACTGAGTGAACTAATGCACCACATGGACTGGATAGTTAGTATTTTCTTTTCTTAAGGCAAACCAAAAATGTGAACGCAAACCATCCTCTCCATTTTTTTTTACATTAACATGAAAGGTACAGTTATTACAAATGTTTTGATGCACACTTTTATGAATTGTATCAGACTCACAAAATACCTATTTTTAAAAGAACAGAAATGTGAGGAAATGGTTTCCAAACGATTTTTCTTTTCTCATTTTTTTTTATACCAGAGTGTAAATGATTTCTGTGTATTAATCAGCAGTTTATACAAAGTTGGCAGTCTTAGATCAAATGTGTCAAAGTCTACCCTGTAGAACACATCTGGCCTGGCACATATTTTTAAATGGTAAATGGACTGTATAGCGCCTTTCTATCTTATCAAGATACTCAAAGCGCTTTACACTACAATCTGTGCCTCATTTACCCATTCATACAGCATTCTACTAGATCTCTACAAAGCTAATTTAATAAATCATTCTAAAGAGACTAATCAGTGCTTTTAGATAACATTCATACACCGATGGGACACACATCAGAGGCTATGAGGGGTTCAGTGTCTTGCCCAGGGACAATTTGGCATGCGACTGCTGGTGGAGTCGAACCTCAAACTCTTGCATTGGAGGACGACTGCTCTAACCACTCAGCCACAGCCGCCCTTTTTATGTGACACTCAAATCTTTAAAATGCAAATGATTTTCTTATTTATATAAAAAAGACAATCTATGTCTCCAATAATTTTTTTTACATTTTTTTTAATTTCCAAAAACAAAGAAGAGAAAAATTGAACCTGAAACAAAGGAAGTTTAAGAGAATATTAAACTGTCAATTTCCAGTTTCTTTGTTGTAGATCTCTTTTTTTTAAATTGTTATTCAATTGTTTTTATTTGTCTTTGTCAGACAACCAATGTGACTAGACGGCACACACTTAAAGTCCTTAAAGGCCTTCCTCTGCTACTTGGCGACGACTCAAGAGAATTCTACAAAACATGCTTTGTAAATTAGACTTATAATCTAGAACATACAAATTGGAATTTTTGGATTAATGCGTTTCGAACAAAAATAATGTAGGTGCTGTTGCGTTTTGAGAGCTGACTGCGGGTCGTCAGTCACTGCAGCTAGCTACGGCTAGTAGTGGGGCTCAGACTTCCTCTCTGACCCTGGACCCTCAGCCAGCCCCCACCACTTCCTCTGGTTCTATCTCTCTCAGAAGTGGCAACTCATACTATCAATAAATCAATGAGACGTCAATTAAGTTTCATCAATTATATTAAAAAAGCAGGAAAGGTTACAGTTTTACAACGCTAGACTCTCCGGACTGTGACACGTTCACAAACCCGTTTAGTGAACTCGGCCTCCGACCAAAACCTGCCTCTGAAGACCTTCATGGGACAGGAACTGTTATTTCATTGATTTGAATCCAGAAATACAAATTAGCTCATCCAGAGACTGTCTAATTGTATCCTGAAGTAATCAATTGAAAGAACACTCTTCTTTTATATTATCATTACTATTTTTACAATATCTTGATAAATCAAAAGTGTGTTTAGTTCATACCATTTCTAAATGTTGAAGTGAACCACTCATTTTAAATCAACTGTGAAACAGTATTAATGATTTTTTAATCCTCATTTAAATTAGAAATCAAGTTAAATGTCTATTTTACAAAGTAATTATGCATTTTTGATCTTCTGTCTAAATGAGAAGTTGTGACGTCGGTCTAAAGTCAGAAAGAAGTTATTAGAACGAAGTGTCGTGTTTTTAAACCTAGCAGACGGTAAACAAGAAGCTACTGGCCTCTCTTCCTCCCACTTCACCATAACGTCTTCTGTCTGTACGGGACGTTTCTAAAACATTCCTGCTGTTTTCTTGACTTGTAATGACCCTCTGACATCACTAGAACCACCCCCTGTTGGTTGCTTCAACCAATCAGTAAGTCCTGAGGTGACCAGAAGTGAGAACTCTTTAAGAGTCCACACTTCCTGGAATTTCTGAGGTCAACTGGGTCTGTCAGTCAGTCGGTCAAGTCTCCTGAGCTCCTCAAGTGGGTCTCTGATGAAGTCTAGTCTTGAACTTAGTCTGCGGAGCCTGTGGTGGATTTTTCCACATCTGAGTGGAACCTCTTACGGACTCACAGCTTGCTGTGTATCCACCCGGGAGATGAGCGTGTTTGTTGAACGGAGTACCGTCACTACTTCGGACGATTCTCAGCCATCCTTACCGGAGACGCTGAAAGGTAGCGTTGAAATGGACTCCTGTTCCTGAGCGAAGGTATCCCCGTCTAAGGTAACGAGTCACCACGCACTGAGTGTACCGGGGCTGAGCTGGGGTCGGATGAAGGGTGCCATTCCTAGTAGATGAACAGATGCTCAGATATATTCATCAATTAACACGGATTCC